TAATATTGGTGCTTGAGCGTTTGCTGCTGTAATACCTAATGGCACGCGTGCTTTGTCATCCATCGATAAAAAGAAAACTTGTTCAGGGCCCAAAATTGAAGCTAACGATTCAAGGTTTCTTATCGTCGCAGTACAAAATGGACCATCTTGATGTTTCGTATGTAGCGTAGAGTCGGGTTTGCATAGTTTGACAGGAACAGTTACGACATGTCTTTTTCCTTCCTCTGTATTGACTCGTCTGGGCAGAAGTCTCAAGTATAACCCTGATCGACTGATAGTATATCCCAGTTTACAAAGTTCGGCTTGTAAGTCATCTAATGTTTTACAGCACCTTATAGCTTCAGTGCGACGTCGATCATCAGCTGCGCCACCAAAAACTGCAAGGTCCTTTATGACTCCAAGTAAACCGGATTGTGTTTCTTCTATTCTAGGCCGACCAAAAGTATCTCGAAGTTTTAGTGCTGTGGCTAAATCGGTATTTTTTTCGCAAAGTTCTACAATTTTTCGTTTTTTAAAATCACGACTTTTTTTCTGTCTTTCTGCTGCGCTAATCTTTCGCTTTAATATATTTTTTTCCTGCTGAATATTTTTCTTTAAAGTTGAGATTTTTTTTATTGCTTCATTTGAGGCTATACCAGCATCGCGTGCTAACAACAAGCTATTGAGTTCAGATTCTAAAACTACAATTTTATTCCTTGAAGCACTCTGACTAGGCGTTCGTTTAGGTATTGTTTGAAGCTGACTTTCACTTGACGGTATATTAACCATATCAGTGTCTTCTGGTAGTGGTGTCTGACCTTCGTTAGTATTTACCTGCAAATTATATGTTATATTGTAATAAAATTCCAATTAAGTAATATTATTATATCGTTACTTTTTATACCGCGGTCTTGAAAAGCACCATATTAGAATTACTTGTATGAAGTCCTATGAAACCGTAGGTGTAAAAAAAAAACACATAATCGTAGTACACGCGGGCAAAACTACGAGCGGAAAGCTAGTCTTAAATAATTATTAGTACCTAATGCGGCGCGTGCGATGCGATTCAAGTCCGCGTCCATCTTTGACTCCTGAGCGCGATAATTAAGGATTGTAATTAAATTCGTAATAACTTACTTGTACTTTTCCCTCCTTTTCCCGCTCTAGTTTTATTCGTGATGTTGACGCCGAAGGAATTTTCGAAAAAAAATTCATTAGTGTCGCTTTTTTTTTCGTCATTTGTATCTGCAGCTCTTTGATTTTCAATTCCACATCACCTTCGATATTGTCACTACTTTTCAAAATTTTCCATAAGGTATTAACTTCTTCCTGTATATGCTGTTTTTTTTTATCAGCGTAAGTCGCACTGTATGTTTCGTATAATCTACGGTAAAGATTACCTAAATCTATCTTTTTATTCATTTTGAACTTGATTTATTAAACTATGTTTATATCCACAAAATAGCACAACTAAAAAAACGACGTCGATCACTCAGCGAAAGCAAATTGTCGAATGAAAATATAGAAACAAAAACATTACCTACGCGAGGTGCGGTGCGTTTGGCGGCATTAGTCAAAGGGCTCGTCGGCGATCGGCACGCGTCAGAAGCGGCTATGAACTTGTCAACAAAACAATTTAAACCGTATTGCCCTAAAGATAGAGTTGGACATATTTTTTAGTTTAATTAATATTTCAAATTACGCGATTAGTACCTCTAGATTTTGAAATGTGATGTCACGAAACTTAGGACCCCTCCCACCCCTTGTCACACCACGTCACACTTTGTCGACCCCCTCCCCCCCCCCTTTACGTGTGACGTACTTTATGGATGAACCCTTACTTAGGGGATTGTTACCATGTACCTTGTTTTTAGCGAGTTTCCGATATTTCGGCTCTATTACAAGCGCCATGATCACGGAGTAACTCCAAGGTGTTTCCTGTTCCGATTCATCGTACAAATAACGTAAGTGTCCCTAACTCCACGATGTTACTCCGTGATCATGGCGCTTGCAACAGTGCCGAAATATCGGAAAGTTGCAAAAAACAAGGTACATGGTAACAATCCCGTACACAACTTATATTACTATAATGTTAGTGACCATGAAAGTTTAAAATATTATGTATTATTATTATTATCCAGTATGTTAATTAACCAATCTTATCTGCTCTTAGTATGTGTATGTCTCCATATACATTGACATTTCTGCAAAATATTAACCTCTTTTTGGGGATGTTGGTTAAAAAGTATTGTTGTTTATTGTGATTTTATTCAAATGTCCTGAAATTTGATAGTTAACCATGAATTTTTGATATACTATGGATATTATCAACAGTGTCGACATCTTTTTTGGAACAACACTAGAGTCGCAAAACAAATACCAATATTTAAAAAACTTTCGATAGTATCAATTTCAATCATTTTTTTTGTCGTATGAAAATTCGTAATGTAATTACAACGCATTACGACAAATATTGCCAAACTGTTGTTAACACTATTAACTTTCTACACAGAAAGTATCTATTTATCAGTAATATCGATAATTTTGCCTTATCGATAGGATTTCTTCAATAAATATTATGTAAAATAGTTTTGATATGAAGAATAAATTAGCTAACGATTATATTAGTATCGATATCGGTGAGTGTCACAACATTAGTTGACCAAAGACGTAAGCAATATAAACGAAATTATTTCTTAGATACTGAATATAACTATGAGAAGACTTCTTTTTCATTTTGTAAATTAGATATTATTTATAAGTAGGTTAAGTTAATTTGTATTCAAATTTTATACATTAGGTAGTTTTTAAGTTGTTGTTTTTATATTTCTATAAGTTGAAATATATAATTATGTTTATTGTTATTCAGATAAGTACATACATACCCAACACTAGAAGAAAATTTAATATAATAAGTTCGTAAACATTAATTATGAATAAATTATTATTTTGTAAATTTCAGTTTTATTTTTAAACTTCACTAATCTTACTTTGGTACCCGGACCTTCCGCTGTGTACGTACAAGAGCATATACAGGCTCTTGTACGTACACAGCGGAAGGTCGACTTTAGACGTAAAACTTGAGTAATAAGTAGCCACTTAGAGAATTTTTATTTATTGATTTTGTTTGATAAGACATAATGAAACGCATATCAATAGAATGCTCATTTATAGAAGTTTTTTTAACTGTAAATAAAAAGGCATTGTATAGTAATTTTAGAAAAAACTGTGCACAAAACAATGCTCATGACTTTTTGCGTGAGTTTGATGTCTGATCTTGAAAACTTGGTAATTACTATTATATTATTTGCTACTACTGCGATACAGTTTGGTCGTGATATTCAATATATGTAAATTACTGATATTTCAAACGAAAATTTGCTAAGTTATACCTTATAATAATGACACAGGACAATTTCGAAAAACCGGGATCAACCCGCGCGAATTGCTTCCGTGACGAAATTTTAGCGTTTTTTCAAACTCCAAAAAGTTGTAGTTTTATATTTACAATATTTATAAAAATTACCAATTTATTTAGGGAATTTTATGTTTAATCTAATAAAAATATGTTTTTTAGTGAAAATGACATTTGGTAGCTAATATATTCCATCTTTTCTACATAGTAGTTAATTTTTCAATTCTTCTAAGATCAAGCTCATATTTCCGCTTCAAATATAAACAAAACGTGTTTATTTTGTGTTAGTCAGCTAGTTTATTTCATTATCTTTCTGATAATATAAGCATTGCCGAGCTTTGTTAAGTCTAAGTCGTAAAAATACGATAACATCGAGTCGAGTGTCAAATGGCGCGCTCAAATTTTAAGTGCGCCGGCCTCTACGGTATCGTATGCGCGAGGCCCCGCGGGCCCTCATAGGTTAAGGTTTAGTAATAAATTGTATGATTCAAGTAAATCTTTTAAAGGTACACCGCAGGGTTCAGTAATTTCTCCTCTTATTTTTATCCTGTCTTGTGAATTTTATGAAGCATATTCCAGGCTCTATAAAATATTCTTTTTATGCGGATGATCTTGTTCTATATTTAGATTGTGATGATCTTTCACTAGGAGAACGTTTTATGAATAGTTGTCTTGCTTACTAAGTAATTACGTTTGAGCTTGAGGTCAATGTACAAAAAAGTTAAGTTATGGTCTTCGCGTATAGTTGTCCAGTTAGTCCTCGAATATTTTAAAATAATGCTTTAATTCCCTTTAAGACAACTGAAATGTATTTAGGTGTTATGCTTGATTCAGAATTGTCTTGGGGTCCTCATATTAATTATATAAGTAAAAAGGCAGAGTTGCGTCTAAACATCTTGAGATCTTTAGTTGGGGTATTTCTGATCCAAAAATCTTAAGGAATTTATATGTTTCTTTGGTTCGTAGCCAATTTGACTACGGATGTATGTTTTATGCTGAAGCATCTAAGTTAGTAGGTAGGTAGGTAGTTAGTAGGTAGTTAAACTAGACATTTTAAAAAATAAAGGTTTACGCGTTATCACTGGGACCATGATGTCGTCTCCTATAAATTATTTAGAAGTTGAATCTGGCATGCCGCCTTTAATCATTACAAGAAGCTATTTAACGGAAAAGTTTTGTTTTAATTTAGTTAGTCATGATAACGTTATAGTCTGTCGTTACTTGCAAGACTATGATATTCCAGATTTTAATAGTATTCCCTTGTCAGCTTCTACTAATATAAGTGAAGCTATATCGTATTTAAACTTAATTTTATTTAAATGCAGGATATGGTGAATTGGGTGAATGAATTTAACCCCTAGTTTTACATATGTGAGTGGTTGACCAAAAAGGGACCTCAAGGGAAAATAATTGATTTCGAGTAAATCGCGTTTGAAGTTTCGTGTAGAAACATGTTTGGACTCGTGCGCGGGTGGTGAGCGCAGCATGTTTTATGTCATTAATCGACTTCGTTAATGTGTGTCAACACGTGTTTTCAGTTATTGCGTTATTGGCAACTTAATTAAGTGTCAGTTTCTTGGCTTAATGTGAGAAACTAAGTGTAAAAATGACTAAAGCCACGTCTGTTTTGTTAGAGGACGAATTGCGTCAGTTGGACGATTATTATGGGATGATTGAAAATGATGAGTTGGACTTGGACGACCTTGAAATGGAAATTTTAGATTTCGATGCAATAAGTTTGGAGGACATGTATACTGGTGCTAAAACTGTAAATGAAGGAGAAAATGACAACATTATGGAGCGAAGCACTGAAGATATACGAGAGGTCGAAATTATTACTAAATTCGTGGAAGATACATGTAAGTGTAGTAAAGGCCCAAATGGTGGCCCATGCTCAGGCATATTTTCTAGACAATATCTATCACGTGTTCGGCAGCAATACATGGATATGGATAAATCTACAAAGTGTACAGCGATTTTGAGTAAGTTGGAGTGTCACAGAAGAAGCACACAGCTGGGAGATAAGTACAAAAAATTTTCTTACACCAAACCTATATTGCGGAACAAATATTTTCATGCAGATATAGAAATATGCCAGTCAACGTTTTTATTTCTTCATGCAATAGGCATCAAGGCCTTCAAAAATATTCTCAAACATTTTGATGAGAAAGGAGTGGCTAATAAAGTTCATGGTTTAAAAGGCAAAACCTATTCATAATGCAACTTCCACAGAACATTTGGATATGATAGTTAAATTTCTTAAAAATACAGCTGAAAAAGTATCTATTCCACTACCTGGTCGACTTCCACAGTTTTGGGACTTTCGAGTCATGAAATTGCCTGCTAATTTAACAAAGAGACGTATGTATAGAAACTATGTGGAGTCATGCAATAATAGCAATATTGATCATGTCAGCTGGACGACTTTCATACAATGTTGGAATACGTATGTGCCTTACATAACATCAATGAAACCAAGCTCTGATCTCTGTCCAGTGTGTCGAGATAATAATGTAGCCATCATGCGTAATATTAACATGCCCGATGAGACGAAGACTGAAAAACTGAAGCAAGCAATTAATCATTTAGAAGAAGCTAATATTCAAAGAAAATTCTACAATGATATAAGGAAAGATGCAAGTGTAGCTCTAACTCAAGCCAAACAACTGGAACAGAAACCTGGTATCCGTGTCTTCAGTATCGATTATGCACAGAATATCCATTATCCCTCATCTGAAATGCAAGTTGGACCTGCTTTTTTTAAAACTGCAAGAAAATGTGGAATTTTTGGAATAAATGATGAAGCAGACAACACACAGACGAATTATCTCATAGATGAATGTGACAACATCGGAAAAGGGGCAAACAGTGTGATTAATCTCATTCATCACCATTTAGAATCCAATAATTGTGACCAAGATAATCAGCATATTTGTGCAGATAACTGCGTAGGTCAAAATAAAAACAATGCTGTTGTGCATTACTGTGCATGGAGGGTAGCAAGCGAGTTAAACAAGACAGTGCATCTTAACTTCCTATTGGTGGGCCACACTAAGTTTTCCCCAGACAGAATGTTTGGACTTTTAAAACAGAAGTTTTCTAAATCTACAGTAGATACTTTGCATGATATCGAAGAATGTGTGGCTAACTCGACCGTTTCGGGAAAAAATAAGGCTATCTGTACGAATGACTACGTGAACGGAATAATAAATGTTCAGTGGTATGAGTGGAACGCCTTCCTCAGCGAATTCTTCACAACTATTCCAGGAATAACACAATATCACCACTTCATTATTAAATCAGATGATCCATTTACAGTGGAATGTAAAGTTCTAGCTAACAATCCAGTACAAAAATTTAATATTGTTAAGAAGGGAGTGACTTTAGATGATATCACTGGTATGCCAAATTTGTTAGTTCCGCCAGGGCTTTCACTTGCAAGACAATGGTATTTATTTGAGGAAATAGCACCTCTTTGCACTTCGAAAGACGCAGCTAATCTAACATGCCCAAAACCGCAAAAAGCGAAACCTACAAGCCAGATGGCTAAGGTGGATCAGCCAGGTCCTTCTGCTAAAAAAACCAGGAAAGTTACTACCTGTGGTCATTGTAAAGAACCAGGGCACACCATACGTTCATGCAAACAAAACAAAAAGTAAAAACTAATTCATTATTATATTTTTTTATTTGTGATAAATGTTCAATTCAAAATTATTACTATTTGTCAATTATTTACTACTGTGCTCGAATACTTTTATTATTTCATACATCACGAAGCGCCTCTTTATTTCCGGAACAGTGGATAGTTCCTTGCCGACAAATACTCCGAAAGCCTCATTAGACGCCTCTGTTATTTTTAAAATTTGTTCAACATCTTTTTCAGTTTGAGTGGTAGCATCTTACATCTTCAATACTTTGTTCTTCGGAATATCTTCATTTATTGTGTCATTCCAACCTTGACTGTATTGTTCAAACACATTAACATCAACATTAGGATTTAAGTTTTCTTTGACTTCTGAAACACAGAAAAATTGTTAAGTTTCTACTCGCTGATTATTCAATACTGAAGTGTGAGCTTCATTAAAGGCTTTTTTTAAAAAATAAGTTGTTTTAATTACCTTGGGAATCATTGGAGACCTTGAAACTTTTAGGACTATCCATTTGAGTAGCATCGTCGTCACTTTCTGACACGTACGAGCGTCTTTTTGCACCTGCACAAGATAAAGAGACTTCGTTGTATTAGAGATAACCTTAAAAGTAAAATAAAACAATAAAACTTACACTTACTTACAATTTTATACACTTACCCGACATCGCAAAAACTAGTGTGCGCTGTGTGTAAGGTGTAATTTTCCCAAAACTGCCTCGGTTCACAAAAAAAATCATAAAAAAAAACTACGGCACCTAAAAATATTCTAGTTAGACCAAAACAAAACTAAAAGACCACAGATTGAAAAATTAAAAAAAAAAACGGTTTCCAATCCCTTCAGGTTCCTTTTTGGTCAACCACTCACATATAGTTTTCAGTCAACGCTGCGTGACATTACGGTCACTTTAAACTTCCTATACCCGCGTCAAATAAAATAACACATATACCCGCGTCGGTCTCTGGGACCGATATTTTTAATGTTTACTAAATAAATAGCTATCATTATAACCACACTAAAATGTAATTTATGACTAAAAAGGACTTTCACACAATCAATATAAACGAAATTTATGGCAATATTAATGTTTATTACTAACAATCTTTTTATTACAGCCTTTGAAAAAATAGTACTTATTCTTTTAAACTACATAAATTTCAACAAAAAGTATCTCTTCTGAAATAAAAAAAAACTTGAAAATAAACAAAATAAACAATAAAAGACTACAGATTAATTTTCCTCACATGGTCCACCATAGCAGTCAGAGCACACCATAATTGCATGTTCCATACAAAAATATTTCTTGCAGGTAGTGCAGTTATATCGCGTCTTGCGATTTTTTTGGAGCTGCAATAATAGCAACGAACCGTTTTATTATTATTTGTTGAAGCTTTGTACTCTGGACCATCTAATTTATAAATTTCAACAAGTCTTTGTCTTATGAGTCTTGGTAAATGTGTGTTTGTACTACGTCGCCTCAGATGTGGATTTATGGGATCATATGATAAAGCTTCCAAAAATGACCTGCTAATGATTTTTTTGTTCAGATTATTGTGAACATATATGACGTACGAATTTATTCCTGCCACATTCATTAGACTATAAAATATCACCATGGGCCATCTGTTCGTACCCCTTGCAACATTGTAAGTTTCGCACATTTTGTCCACGGTATCGACGCCTCCTTTGCTTTCATTGTAGTTCATGATTATTTCAGGTTTTTGAGTATTCTCATCAATGATTCCGTTATCATGCATACTAGACACAAGCAATACATTTTTTTTAGGCACGTACGAAACCAGAGTACAATTGCCTCGATAGCCAAATAAGCTGGATTTCTCTATTCGGCCTCGGATTACAATGAATTCTTTGGGCAACTCTTTTTTATTTTTTCGAATAGTGCCGATTATTGTCAACCTATACTCTCGCTCCAGTTTATCAATCAAGGGCAGACTTATAAAAAAAATATCACATGTAATGTTACGGCCAGTATTGTGAATAATATCACTAAGGCGTAAAACCAAAGCCAAATATCCTGCAAATTAGCCTTCAGGCTCTTTTCCGACGTAAACTTCCAAGTCAAATGTATAAAACAATTTAGCATCTGTCAGTACATAAATTTTTATACCGTATTTGTTGGGTTAAGACGGATTATATTGTACAACGACCTCTGAATGCCTCCAGTTTCTCATCGATCGTGACAAACTGCGATTCACTATACATGGGACACGTACTATAAGGTACGTGGGACAAAACACTATCAAAATATACTTATATATCGGTTGGGAAAATGTAACTATGGAACTCGATACGGGGTCTGCGAATAGTGTTATTTCCGAAAATCTATATATTAATTCATTTTATATCTGTAAGCTGTTTAAAAGTAATATTAAAATGTGCCTTTATAATGGACATAGATTCTCTCCGTAAGGATATTTTGTTGCAAAGGCTACTTATAATAATCAAACGAACCAAGTAAAAATATTTGTTGTTAAAAACGGAGGTCCACAACTCCTAAGGCGAGATTTTATGTCAGCATTTAACATGATTATTGATTATTGCCTTGAATAATATTGTGTCAAATGAACTTAATAATTATAAAAATGAACTCGACAAGTTGTTGGAACAATAATCACATTTGTGGCGCAATGAATTAGTCACTTTTAATAAATTCAAAGTTAAATTACAACTTTACGAGATTCGGTGCCTTTTTTTTTAAACCGCGATCTTTTTCTCTTAGAGATAAGGTCGAAAAAATACTAGAAAGATTAGTAAAACTCGGCGTTTGAGTACCAGTTCTCTCCAATCATTCTAAATATGCTACACCTATTGTACCTGTGCTTAAGGCAAATGGTACGGTTAGAATCGCTGGCGATTTCTCCGTTACATTAAATAAAGATTTGGTTCTGGATAAATATCCTTTACCTCGAATAGAGGAGGAATCTGCCAAACTTAGTGGAGGGCAGCAGTATAGCAAGTTAGATTTAAAAAATGCATATAATAAATTTTTACTAGACAATAGCTCACAAGAACTCACAACAATAAATACACCAAAAGGATTGTATAAATAAATATACGCGTTTAGTTTACGGCCTCGCAAACGCGCCAGCAATTTTCCAAAAATCCATGGAAGCCCTGCTTTTTGGCATTGAGGGCGTAATTTGTTGGTTAGATGACGTTTGTTTATTTGTTTACGGCCCTTAATGAAAAAAATCATTTAGAGTGTTTAAGAATAATCGTTTAAGTGAAGCGGAATTACAACTGCAGCGAGAAAAATGTGAAAATCTTAAGGAAAAGCCCGAAATAGCACAATTTTACATTGGTTTTGACAATTATAGCCATTTCATGTTTGTCTTCCACCTTTTTGGCGATGAAGTAAACAATATAAAATATTATTCATCATGAAAGCCGACTCGAGGCAAACATGTTTTAACACCATGCAATAAATTGATTTTATTTAACCCTTTTAAAATTGCGAAGAAATATGTGCAATAAAGAACTATCTCTTCATTTTGGTATAGGCAAAACTTCTGTGAGTAAATACTTTATAACATAGATTAATTATCTTTACTGTAAGTCAACCAGCTAGTTTAGTAAGACAGCTTACTTTAAATATAAAATAAATAGTAAAACAAGATCCGAAATCACTGTGGAAAATTTTAAAAGTACCATTTTGCCGTAACGGAAATCTTAACTACCATCATATCTTAACGACTCCTTATGCTTTAAATAACCATTTTATGAGAGTGCCTGGCACATCTGATGTGAGTGTTTAAATTTTAACATATTTTGAGTTTAATAGATTTACCAATTTAACATTTCATTTGGAGGCCCTTAGCTTAGATCAAATTATAAAAATAGTCCGTATCCTAAAGTCAGAAGTAGGAAGCGATGGTATCAGTTTAGACATGCTTATCGTGACATTTCCGCACACACTGGAGTATCAAGGATATAATACAATCAATTATAACTCACACATTTCCCGATATATGGAAGCAGGATTTAATAATACCGCTTGTTTCCGCTTCCGGCATTTGATAAGATAAGGTGTCTCTGTGTTTCTCTTAAATAATTTGATTTCTATACCTGGTTCAAGTGAATAGTGCACATAGAAATAGCGTGTGGTTGCCAAGAGCAAGTTCAGTGCTTGCAAATAGCCTCAAACAGCAACAATTTAACACCTGACACTCGTATTTCGACACTTTATCATATTGGGTAAGATTTTTTCACTTGCCGTTTATTTTAAATATGAGAAATACTAAGAAGCAACAATATAAACAAAGAATATGATTTGTTAAATGCAAAAACATAACCTAGCGCATCGATCAGCTGATTGGACATTGCTTTCCGGAGAATTGTCATTGTCACTGTCATACTAGCAGTGCAGCCAACTTCAAATAAATATTTAATTTTTGCTGAAGGTGAAGAATCCCTGGTTCATACAGCCTTGTCTCTAATAATTAATTCCATAGACTAGTTGGAAATTTTGGCACGCACTAGAAATTGATAACGAGTATCGAAGCCAACCATTACGATAATGACTACTTGTTCGGGGTGTAATCACAAAGTAGATGAAGATGGCCACTCGATGAGATGTTCATGGTGTGGTAATTTTTATGACCTTTTATGTGCTGGATTGACTTTGGAAAAATATGTTGCTCTTACGCATGAAGTTAAACAGGGATGGAAATGTGTTGTCTGTAGGAGTAGAATCCCTAAGATTGGTGATTTGAGTACCCCTGTTCGCCTTCTCATGAGTACTACCAATGACAGCGACGTAATTGCTGATGCCGCTGATAATACTATATCCGAATGTGAGTTTGGGAATGTCACTATGCGTCGTGGGCAAAATGTTATTAAAACATGCAATTGCTTATGTGGAGACCTCAGCTCGCTCAGGCAAGTTATTCGAGAGGAGCTGCAAGCTATAATGAAGGATCCCATATCAATGATCTCATTGCTTTGCAATTTGTACCAGGAGCAGAGTAAGGCTGTGAAAAACTCTGTAGGCC